GTACAGTTTATTACAGGCTCGTCTTTATGATATTCCAACCTTCAAAAATGCATTAAGCGCGCATAAAGAGGACCCGGAACAGTCTGCTGCAGCGCCTTCGCCTTCTCGTCCTCGCCTTCGTCTTCGTCGTCGTCGGTGACGTCGACGGTGGCGTTCTACCCGCTCCCGGATGGCCCATCAAACTTTAAAGCGATGGATATCCTTTTCTTTCCAGGGAGAATCGAAGTTCCTCTCGCAGAGCTGAAGCAAGCGGAACCATGTCTCCGTAGACTTGTCTGGGGACCGGCTGAATTTTTGATGGCGGGTGTGCGTTAAAACAAAGAATACCGAGACGTTAAGATCGAGTTGAGCGAGAATTAAGCCCCCTCAGGGCTCTGTTTGTAAAACCATCCGCTCTAAAACCACCCGCCGTTAAAGAGGATCTGAATTGGGATTTTTTTTTCTTTCTCGCCCCTTTTTAACTTCTCCGTCCCGGCGTGAACGATTCACTTGTGAATGATCGTCGCGACCGCGCGAATCTCGCTCGACTTTCGTTCAGCTATTGTGACGTAAGATAATGAGCGTTCTCGAGCAAGATCGATACCGTGCGTACGCAGATACGATAGATAAATAGAATGATTGACAATGTGTGATAGGAGTCCGTAACATTATGGGTGTTATGGCGCGCGCGTACGGCGATTACGTCGATAATTATTTGGTGCGATAATATAATTAATAGGAACGCGCCATTCCGCGATAATGCCGTTAATAAGTACGCAGGATTCCGTTGATTGAACGTTATAGAATGTAACCGGGCACGGTCGCGCATATTACTTCGTATCACGTGATGACGTTATGACGTTATGCGCTGCGGCACGGTTATTAACGCCGCATGAAATCGAATGAACAATAATAAAACATTGGATCAGCGTGCATTATCGTTCGCGTTCTCCTCGTATGCCTCTCCCGCATCCTGCGAATTCCAAACTTAACATACTAGCAGACACGTAACGTGACATTTGAGAGAATACGAATATTTCCTTTTGAAGGAATACGAAAATTTCTCTCACTCCTAGGTTAGGATTTTCAAGTTTAGAATTTTTAGATACTCTTTTATGTTTATATAGATTTTCAGATGATTAGACGGTTTTTCAGATATTTCTTTTGTCTGAAAATTTGTTCCGTTTGGGAATTTTTAGATGATACTTTATGAAATAAATTTTTGGATGATACTTTTATGTTTAGACAGACTTTCAGATAATTTTACCGATTTTCAGATATTTTTTGTCCGAAAATTTCTTTAGCTCCGATCGGGATTTTTCAGTTTAGGATCCCTAAATGATGTTTTTATTTCTATACTTTGAGATGATTTTACCGATTTTCAAATATTTTTCTTGTTCGAAAATTTCTTTCGCTCCTAAAATTAGAATTTTAAGATTTAGAATTTCTAAATAATGCTTTTATCTCTATTCTCTTATTGACTTATACAAGTATACTTTTACCTCTAATCAGACTTTCAGATAATTTTTTCCTATTTACAGATGATACCTTTACTTATACAAATCGCTTATCCTCTTTTCACTTTCGAATTTTGTAAAAGGGACGTCTGTTTGGCGGAAATGAAATTTGGGCGCACACGAACGCAAATCCGTGTTCCCCATATTTACAAAGAGATGATAAAACAGAAGTCCTCCCGCAGGATCGCTTCCGTTCTCGTGCTAGTCTGCGTTTCGCCCGCGCGCACGGGACTTGACAAGCAAACCGGAGGAGGACTCGCGGGAGCAGACGAAGCGCAAAACAAGAAACGAAAGCGAAATCCGGTCGATCGGATGCCCGGAAAATTACATTCAAGGGAAATCGCGCTCTTAAGGGGAAAAACGCGAGGGTTGGGGCACGGGGGCGATGGGTAAAAACGGAAAAGAACGGAGGACGAGGTAACGAAATGACACGAACGCATTTCGATTTCCTTTGAGCCATCGTCGCGTGGAACTGTGCGCGCGTCTGCTTCACCTCTTCGTCCTTTCGCTGCCTTTGTCGCTTCGGCTCTTTATTGCCCAAACGCCACCCTCGCTCTTCCGCTCTTTAGAACGAATCAAACCCTCGCAGATTTTTCGCGGATCCTGGCAATTTTGCTCTCTCGCCGATAAAAAGCGATTCGTCTTGAGGGCCAGAGTCCTGCCAGCGCCCGGAGCTCGCAGGGGGTGTGCGGGCGCGAACGCGCAACATTGGAGCTTCCGCGAGAGCTTTCCGGCGAGAAAGTCCGAAAAATTTAGGGACGCAAGAGCGGAGCCGAGGGAGATCGATAAATATGGAAATGCGAGTGGCAAGTGACGATTCAATACAAGGGATGCATTTTCTTGTACGCGTCGCTCGTTCTTTCCCTTGTGATGCTCGATATTATTTATGCCCCCTCAAGTTCGATAGAATTTCAGATAAAATAGCGGACGATAAAAAGCATCGGGAATGATTTTTAGCCGGAATTCCAGCCGGAATATATCCCGGCTGCAAGTACAAAGCTTTCGCATTTCATTGCCACAATTGTATCCCTCCGCTCGCACGTATTCTCCTTTGCGCTCGTAACCAGCGCGAGGGTCCTCGGCGGTACCCGTTGGTGCAAATCAAGCGATTTTTCCGCAGATCTTACGAGAGTGCGCATTTTGGCGAGAAGGCACGGGGACCAGAATGCCGCAAGAAAATCCCTCGGTCGCGGTAATGCGCGAAAAACGCACCGAGACACGTTCTGCGACCAGCAACCGGCGGGAACGAGCCAATTTTGCCGGCGTTAAAATATTCGCGCAGGAGGTGATACACCTTTCGCGAGCGCTTCGAGAATGTTAATTGCGTAAGATTGCGTCGCGCATTGCGAACACATTGTTACAAACGCACTCGAGCGCGCCAGTGCGGAATCGCGTAATTCGATATCTCCCGTAAGCTATAATTTGCGAGCGATTTTCCGCTCGGCAACGTTACAGAATTAAACGGAGCACACACGCGCGATCGATTAAATTTTTCCATGCAATAAAAGACGAGCGAATAAGAGAGGGGAGAGGGGAGAGAGGGAGAGAGAGAGAGGGAGAGAGCGCCGATCACGTGATCCTATCATTTTGACATCACGTTTCGTTTCCAGCGATGTTTCTGTCCCCCTTTCCTGCAGAAACAGTGTTTGTCTCGTTCACCTCTTTTTAGGCAGAAAAGGCCGGGTAGACGGGAGTGACATAAAGGGGCTTTTAACTCGAGCGTAATTTCCTTTTGATCGGAAATTCAATATTTTCTTACGGCCGCCGCGCGCCTTGCCGCGCACGTAGGCGAGTTCGCTGCTTCCGGAACTTTCCGCGTGAGTTCTCGATAGAGAGAGAGAGAGAGAGAGAGAGAGAGAGAGAGAGAGAGAGAGAGAGCGATTAGAATGCGTACATGGAATCGGCGAAAAAAAAAGAAGAGCACGTTGAGGCATGCTTCTCGTACGAAATGCCGATGAGTTTGACGCGAATCTAAGCTCACCGAGCAGGAGGAAATGCCAGCGGCAGTTTCGGCTCGCAAATGCACGCAGGGTTTGTGGAACTTTCTCACGCGGAGAAAATTTACCGTTTAACATTATATAGACCGCGTGAAAACCCAAGTGGGAGGAATCAGCCATCTCAATTATGCGTGAATTTGCGCGTGAAAAGACTCAATCTTCTGAAGCATGAGTTTCACATTATTTTTATACTGCATAATAAAATATAATCTTTTATAATGTAGTAATATCATATTTTGTAATATAATAATTTTGTAATATAATAAATTGTAATATAATATTTTGTGTAATATAGACTTAAACGATGGAAACTATTTGACACAATTTTGTACGAAAAAAGTTTAATTAGAAACTGACCGGAAACTGATCAGAAACTAGCCGGTGTACCTAACCAAAATTCCTGGCCAATTACTGAAAAAGAGGTCGCTCTTTCTACTTGGGAATTACTGCAATTTAAGATAGCATGCTCAAATGATCAGGAAATTACTTCCTCGAGTGCCTCCATCGCCTGGTTACGCAACAAAAGTTTGTTAAATATTAGTAATTATATTACCCCGTTGGGGCAGAAGTGACTGAAATACAGCAATTGCTCCTAATTGATCAGGCCGAAACGCTAAAAGTCTTGCTCGCCGTGTACTTTGTCGGGTCGATGGCGCGCTGTAATTGCAATCGCACAATTATTGGCGCTGGAAAACAGGTCTACCATTAGCATAATAAATCTCGTACCTTGGCCAGACAGGAAATTGCGAGGTTCTCCGGCGAGGTGTACGCCGACGAATTGTGTGGGAGATGTCGAGGAGTGAAACAATCTCCAGAACCCGCGCGATACCACGATTATAAACTTATTCCGGACCTTCGTGACCGATCCCGCGCGATTTACGTCAGGCGCATTAAAGTTTTCACGTTAACGTAGGAAAAGGTTTATGAGCTATCAAGAACGATACCGGCTGAGTTCAATCCCGCCGCTGTCGTCCGCGCCGCACTCGTTACGTGATTGGCGGAACCCAACCCTCTTGTCACGAGAAAGGAAAGGAAAACGGGGAAAAAATGTTACGGTAATAGCTCCCGGTGTAATAAGATTGATAAATTCTGTGGACTTTTTTCAAGAGCGAACGAGATCGCTTTCGTGTATTCTGAAGGACGAAACTCGGCACTTAACACTGGCGATTGTTGGTATTGAACGTATTACGAGCTTGGAATAGACCGCTTTTTCGCTCGTACATTACCAACTGGCAATTTTCCAAGCCAGTGGAAAATAGCACAGCACGAGAAACGATAATTGGTTCGAGCAAAGTATTTGCGTTGTTATCGCGGTGATTATGGACGATTATTCCGGGAGTTTCCCTGGAAATGGAAGTGTATCACGCTTGAAGTGCGACAGTTTGCTCTATCGAGTTCGCCGAAAGTTGAAAAAAGGGAAAGAGAACAATAATTGTAACGATTCTTCCTTTCTTTTCGCTCTCATCGAAAGTCATCTTTACGTTCTCCTTTAATTTGTTTGTTGTAGAAGGACGCATCCTGGAGCTGCACTCGCCTGATGGCGTCCACGAGTGTTGGTTGAGAGCCACTGACAACACCGAGGCGAATGTCTGGTTCAATGCTTTGCACTCGGCGCTGGCAGCCCTCACCTTGAAAGCGTTACGACTGGCCTCAGCACTTCCGGATCCGCAGCAGCTTCAGCACATCGGCTGGCTCGCAAGGAGACATTGTCTTCAGGTGAGAGAAGTTTCCGACCGATCCACCCGAGGAATTCTATGCCTAACCATAGTATTCAGTCGAGGATATCCTATATCCCGTAGACGTAATACTATTGAAATTCAATATAGCATTGATATTAGTCTCACGCTAACAATATTCACGCAATAATCGACTCAGGGCATTTGAATAGTTTGTGTCGCGGGCGGAAAACACCACTTCAAAGAAAAATGATTTCCCAATTTAATAAACATGTTATAAAATTTCCTAGATATCAAGTGAACTTCTCATTTAATAGCCTCCGCTTTGAGGTAAAAATACTAGTCTAGACACTAATAACATTGGTACCTAATTCCGGACATTCTTATTGTCTTGGTCTTCAAATACGAGTATTTAAATTTTTAATATAGAGAATATATATATATACGAGGGTGGTCTGAAAAGTTTCCGACCTCAACGTGAAGATAGCAGCACTTGTAAATAAAAGCTAGTGAATTTCGTTGTTCATCTGTTGACAGTTACTCACCGAAGTTTCAGCCATTTTGGACTCGCAGTTGTTATGTAACAGTCGTTTGAGTAAGTTGATGTGAGTGTTTTTGTGAAAATGGACAAAATCGAGTATCGAGCTGTCATTAAATATTTGTTTTTGAAAGGCAATACGCCTACGCAAATCAAAGATGAGTTGGATTCTGTGTATGGGGACTCTGCACCATCATTTAC